GTGCCCCAGTTATTCTCATTGTGGATATAATTAATATCTAAAGCTGCTTGAACAAGTATATGTCCGCGTTTTTTTTTCATGTTCAGAGGATTTATTATAGTTTCTGTCTTTCCACCCTCTGAAATTGCGCATAGTGTAAGAGTTTGTTAATCACGCATCGTTCATTTGTTGTTGTTTATACCTGTTTTACATATTGCAAGTGTCAAAACGGCCGCAGCAGATCCCTGGGTATATAATTTTGTCAACAATCATACACCCATAGACATTTTTGTAAAAATTAGTATTTTTTTTATTTTCTAAAAAAAATCTACCCGACCACAGGGTTAGAAACTTGATATTTTCACAAGCCCGACGTGACTGAATAGTTACCTGTGCCAGGCGTACAGGTGGGCAGTAAAGGGGCGATACTATGAGGTTATTACGAGGACACCTCAAAGCATGCACGAAGACAGTACAGCGGGAAGTATCGACCGACGCGCAGCAGAGAGGTCGGTGCGACGAGGTACTGCCTGAGTGCATACTTTGAGGTATCCTCGTAAGAACCTTATTATTATACATCTTTTCCTTCCATGATTACATCATGGAAATGCCGAAATCCAAAACCTTTAGAACAGAATCATCGAACTTCTTTGTGTGGAGTCATACACATTACACAATATGAACAGATAATGTTTATACCGTTGTTATTTTCTAGCACATGTCACTGTTGACGAACACGGAACTCAAGTTATTCGTGGAACTCCAGGGGGTATAAGAAACTGTGCTCGAGCCATGATCGTTTTTGGTGTCGTCTTTGTTTTGATCGGTATTCCGTTGACTGTAGTTGGTGCTGTTATGTACAACGGCCAAACCATACCTTGGATTTTCCTGTTGGTATGGGGACCAATACTCATGCGTAAGTAGCCACCCTGTCAACACGTGCTTACTATTGCTCTTGTAAGTAACACGCTTGTCATGCGATACATTGTACCCCTTGTAAAAATATATCAACTATTTTATATTGGTCGATTCATACAGTTGCGTCAATTGGAATGTTTCTTGGAGGACGAGCAGTTTACAAAGTGTCTAAGACACAAGAAGAAAGGTTGAAACACCCTGAGCAGTATACAACGGAGTTGTCGCCACGTCGGACGAATCAAGGTATGGAAATCAAAAACTGTCTTTATTTTCTCACAAGACTTAAAATTCGGTTCCTTCGTCTGTTGATCTGGAGTCATATGTCAGACCCCTCTTGACTGAATTTGTTCATTCATTCATACAAAAATGGCACAAATATGACAATTGAAAATAAAGTGTGCAACAACCATATATTAGATTGCAAAAATAGAAGTCATTTAATAAATCTGGTTAGTCTATTATTCACTCTCAAATATTGACCATACAATGTACATGGTCAGGTGACCAGCATAACCAATTTGATTACAATAATTATATGCATATAGCAATACATGTCCATAACTATTCAATTTGTGATCAGTTAAATCACAACAGACTTGCTGCCATCTTGTTGTTTGGTCATATTATTTTATCTTAGGCATGAATAACATTTCACCCAATTGCAACGCCGGGACTGTGTCATTAACTATGACTTTCATGAGGGACGTCACGGTGTCGCCATATGTGACTGTATTCTGTATTGTCGTTGAATCGAATTACCCATGAATATTTGTTCCGACTTAAAAAAACACATTTGTGTCCAACAATCTTAAATTAAAAGCGAGATGTGTATGTAACTACAGTGTTTTGTCACACTCGTGTAATATAAGTCAAAGCTATGTCTGTTGCATAAAGTTGTGCAGCCACCTGTTAAGGAACTTGTTAATTGTGAAGTCTGTTAACACATTGATTAACAGGAATGTGAGACTTGTTTGAAATTAAATGGGTCTGTATATCGTTTTGTTTTTTTATTGTTAAGTTTCATTTTAATTTTCAGTGTCGACGGTCAGTGGCTCTTTGCAGGACCCGGGCCCACAAGACTGTCGTGGTGCCGCAACGTCTGTGTATCACGACACGGAGAAAACACAGTATGGCGGATACACGTATCAGTGATAGTGATAGTGATAGTGATGTAAATAAAAAATAAACAAATTTGAATTTTATTGAATAATATTCATTATAATATTAAGTTATGTTATCTTGTATATTGTATTTTATAGAATTTTCCATTCATACAAAGCTTTTCAGAAATCGATAAACTATTTTTTATGAAAATTTATAACACATCTACCTGGAAAGACATTCGTGCAATATTCAAATGAAAAAAATGTTTTCATTGGCTAGAAAAGGCTTTGATAACGTTTGTTACCCATGAGTTAGACTTGCTTGCAGTCTGTTGCGAATCCGATGAAAAATTCTTGAAAAATAAATATAAATTGCGTAAACGAGGGGTGAACGCGAAAGTCATGTGACCGCGAAATCCCAACAGACTTGCCATCAGTGTAAGCGCCCTCACATTACCGGCCAGATTCATGCTTGTAAATTTGCATATACGTCATACTGTGGATGGAGCAACCATCAAAACCGGTTTCACTGATTATGTTGTTATCATTGATGATCACCGCAGCTAACCTTCAATGAATTCTGCAATATGGCTTATTTCGTTTAAATTGTCATTTTCGGGTAGCAGAATAATGTTTGTCATGGGTAAAACACCACAATGACCGCTCTGACATTGTGATTGGTCAAGCTGTTTTCTACATTTTACAATTATAAAAGGTTTATAAATATTTTATTTAAAACCCTTTTATATGCCGTTTTAAAATAAAATGTATATATATACTACGTTAATACAATACTTTGTTTTCAGTTGGAATTAATTTTTGCCGAAGAGATGAATCAGTGAAAATAAAGTTCTGTGAACATATGTTTTCCAGATATTTTATGCTCAACTCATCAAAAATCATCGAAAATGAACTTCATGGAAAAAATGTTTTTTCAGCGCAAATTAATTCTAGCTAAATGTTATTTTACAGTACTTTTCTCGTGTATACGAATGGTTCAAGTTCATTTCCACTGATGGTTATACAGGATGCTGTGCAATATTTATTGAGATTTAGCTTTTAATTTTCGTCCCGCAGTTCTAGATGATAAAATGTGACACTTAATGCTTAATTTGAAAACATTCCATTTCCATTTTACGTAAACCAGCAATACTGCAATTATGTCGCAACCGTTCTGTCTGTTTGCTTTAACTTAAGTTTTGTGATAGAGATTTTCTAAATTGTAGCTTATTTTTATAAAGGTGTAACACACGAAATAGTTTTATACGTTTTGAGATGACAAGAGTGTATTTATGTACCGGCCATTCAGTGAGAGGTTTTCTTTGTCGATGATATATGTCACACATAATATTATCTTATTTTGTTCAGTTTTTGGTTCGATGCAAATGTCGCGCTCGTATAGAAATCACGCTCCCAAAAATGGCGTTGTTCTCACTTGTGTTTCAGTCGTTCTCGATTTTGAAAGCAGGAGCGAGTGGAAGTGAGAGCGCCACCAGTGTTCAAAAATATGCATGAACCCTAAAGATCACACTTTCTGGTATTTTATGAGATATTGTATTTTGTTCGATATTACACTTATAATGCATTTCTAAATTCTGAATATTCTCTTGCCCGTGTGGTAAATCCTTGTAGTTCACTGGACTAACACATTAGAGTTAAATAAATAAATAAATAAATAAATAAATAAATGAATAAACAACCATCTTGATGTAGCTCATTTATTTGTCCAGTAAAATGTATATATTGAATAAGCCATTTGTGCAATAATTCATAAGTTATTATTTATAACAATATTATATGTAATAAAGTACATACATTTTAATTATTCGTGAAAATTATTTGTGTGCATCTCCACGTTATATGTACTTGAGAACGATTTATTCGAACACTATTTATTTATATATTATAAATACATACAACTTGTTTGAATCGTACATCGTGTCTTATACGTGGTATTCAAATATATGGAATTAAGTGCTGGAGGAAGTGACAAAATGAAACAAATATAATCAAAATTTAGATTTTAGGGGAAAAAATTCTCCCTACAACACAGACATACTCATCAAAAGTTGCGGTTACTGTGACAGTATCACATTAAGTAATTGTATATGCCTTGAAACAAAATAGAATACTAGTATAAAACACAGATGAAAAAATCTGTGATCAAAAAAATGTATAACAAAGAGGTTAACCGTTACAAATTCTAGGAGATAAATTGTAAATATCGAAAATCTACTCTGAGAAATATTTGAAACAAAAAGTACGAATGAGAGCATTCTTCCGGAAAATCCCAATGATTGCATTCCTTAATGTGAATGATAGCTTAATTTAATTCAGAAAATTAGAGCATTCAATCCCATTAAGCATCAATAATTTAAATTCATTAAAATAACAATATTTGGAGTTACAGTCTAATGTAAACAAACAAATAACATTTTAGGTAACTCGGGGATTTTCTTTGGAAGTGATCATCTTCACTTGATTTTGTTTCAGTAATAATGATTTTAAATTGTTTAACTTTCATTTGATTGAATTCCAAGCCATAATTGCAATAAAAATATTGGAATATTGAAAAATGTGAAATATGAAAAAAAAAACTTTGAAAACATATCAGAGACATTCGCTTCCAACAAATCTCGAAGAGGCTAAACATCAGTCACACCTTACATGAATACTCTACATATTAATTAATATATTTGCTACGTCCACTCAACGGCCATAACGCCCGCTACGACCACAATTAAAAGAAGCTGGCCGCCATTCAAATAAAGATAACCTTCAAGTATTTCTTAGTTTTTCAATTAGACCATATGCACACGAGGTCAGCAAAATAGTGACAACTCTTAGACGGTTAAGTGTGGTTTACCGCCATTAAAAATAATTATATATGACAACTATCGTACAAAGATGGTGATTTTGCAAAAAACACTCGTGCGTAGCTTGGGCGGAATATCGGCGGTGTGGATACACCGATTCAGAATGTCTGGCTGGTCTGGTTTGCAACGCGTGATTTCGAAGTGATTGACATAGTGTTCACATTAAGTTAACTTTAGCTTTGTTTGTATATGTGTCGACCCGGTATGTTTGGCTGGTCTGCTTTTTGTGTTTTCATTTGCAGCACGTGATTTCGAAGTCATTTGTTTAGACATTATTTGTTTCTTTAAAGTCTCTTGTATATTCCAACAACGTGGTTACAGTTCGGACACGAGTGTACAACGTTCTTGCACTCGTCAATACAGAATGGGATCAGACAGCATCCACACCAGCAGCTGAAATTAGACAAGATGAAACATCAGGAATTCGTGCACGCGTACATTCATTCTAGTATATACTGTAAAACATGTCTTTTGAGCTAGCATGTTATTTTAGCTAATTTAGCTAATCTATAATTTCGCTAATTCAAGATGCAGCTAATTTAACAGAAAGTATATTCTCACAAGGAGATAGTCGACACTTTAGCTAAATTAAGATTCTGTTAATTCATGCAAAGAGTCAAATCCGCTAAAGTTGCAAGGAGCTATTTCAACATGTTCTGCAGTAGTACGTCTCAGATTACCAATGAGTAAAATCCTGCGATGGGACATTACATTAGGGTACGGACCATTTTGGATTTGAAAATATAATGTTAACATGGATAACATTTTCGAAACCATGAGAAATAACCGAAATTGTGATAGAAATAAGTCATTAATTAAAATTGTCGATATAAACGGTTGCGTCAATACATAGTGTGCAAGGGAATGAAACAAAACGCATTAGACCAGTTCATAATTCGTAATTTTGGTTTGTAATACTGATTTTGTTACGTTCACATGCTTATTTCGATTTATAAATTGACGATGTTAATATTTTACAAATGGTTATGTTCTAATTGTCGTTAAGATAAATCAGCAAATTTCGTTGTGATGGAATTTTCGCTCCGTAATTCAACGTTTAAATTATTCGCAAGATGATGCCTTACTTCCATCCATCCATCCATCCATTTATTCCAGGCTAAGTTCGCTTTTATTTCCCGTCCCCGGTATCCAAATAGATACCCACCTCACTTACATACAGCTCTTCCCACACATACCAGAAAGTAGAATATAACATTGGCTTATGATTACTTGCGAGCGCTGTGCGCGACTTGGATGGTCATTTGGCAGATAGATAATAGTCCCTCTACCCCTCTGGTAGAGGAAATGTGGATAAATGAACACAGATAACCAGAATTAAGACATAGGCGGCGGAGTGAAGCCATACCTACATCACTTATACATTTGATGGTAACTTGTAACGAGGTAGACAACGAAATGAACATTAGTGTTATGAAGATAGCTATTAATGAATGGTAATACTAATATAAAACAATGCCGTACCCAAACAAACACAGTGTACCGGCAATCAGCCACGTTAGCAGTCCTTCGTCGTGTTTGATCTTCGTGATCACGTTAGTTTGGCATACATGGCAGTGTGTGGCCAATGGCGTGTCGCGAAATATGAGATTCTGCGATTCTGAAAATAAAGTGTAAGTTCATTAGAACACTATGTTGATGTAGTCATTATTCATTTTCAAACACACCGTTCCAATGAGCTGCGCCCTCTAGCGAGGAAGCGCGTATGTGACGTCGTGAATGGCTGTAAGCGACGCCATAAACCATTTTTCCATAGGTAGCAAGACTGGGGTGCAAAAATACTCCTGCTTTGTCATGGCAGAAAATACAAACATGTCAGTTTGCTGACAATAGAAGGGAATTTTTAGTTTTGTGTTATTGAGATATATTAACTATATCGTAAACGACGAACTACTGAACCGAACACAGTTGTATGATATTTGAACGTCATTGTTTTCACCCATCTACGTCATTTTAACGTCACGTTAATAATTCGTCGATGGATGGCGCGTTTTATAAGAAACAATTGTTATCGTACGTCTCGAGCGTCAAGTTGTGCACGGATAAAGGATAAACACATTTCTGCAAATTCCTAACTTGGGAAATATCTGTTGTAAGTATTAATTACAATATAATATATGCAATCATTTAATTTGTATTATGGAACAATTCTACGTCACAGGTTAAATATGCGTTCAAGCGCGGTAGTCGTCGCGCTGCGCATGTGCGAGATATATAGGTCTCATATAAACAAAGATGGCGACTTTGACTGTTGCAGATCAACGAGTACGAACTGACACATTTCCAAGTTTTAATTGGGTAATTTTCATGTGATTGGAAGGTATCGAAGGAGTCACCGGCGGTAATCAGTGCAAGTCGCGCCCAGGTCAAACCTCCGTCATACTTGTGATTTCCATTTGAAGAGCGCATTGGGTTGTGGGAAAATCAATGTTTATCAACACAAACATGCGCAGCGCGACGACCACCGCCCTTTAACAGACTACATAATACCGGAACAATCGCTTCGTAGTTGACCATATCCGTTAGTCTAAGAGATGTAAAAGATAACAACAAAGCAAACAGGGATAACATCATCACATTATAACAACATACCAGGAATCATCGCTGTAGTGGCTGAGTACACCTCGGTGGGCGGTTGTTGGTATATTATCATCGGCTGCATGGGTTGTGGGGGCGGGTAGTGGGCACCGTCTTTCTGTGAATACGATGAATCAACCTGACCACTCGGTGAATATTCCGGCGGTGATGTCATCGTGACTGGCACCGTTTGATTCGGTTCATTTCCTGTAGTTTCCATGTTGCGCTTTTTAGGTCCAGCACTTTAGGCCATCCAGTGAGGTAAAACAAAGATTTGGAATTAATATATTAATCAGTAATTTAGGAATAAACATAATATTATAGCATTGGAAGATCTTCGATGATGATGAGTGTGTGTGTGTGTGTGTGTCAAAAACGATGTAATAAAGATATGTTTTCTGCGCTGCCGTGGATTGTCATGGTCCATACGCGTAACGTACCTTAAGTGCAGATCTTCGGTTATAATAATCCTACTGCAGTGATCAGTAATCGGGGAAGTTTGTAGTTTTCCAGAAAGACTTGTGCAGCAGATAGTACAGGAAACGTTTGCTAGCTGTGAAACACTGACGTTTTGAAAGGATATCCGTCGATTCAAGGTAACGCATTGGTAGCCACGTGACACATGTAAGCCAATCGTAATACTGTCGCCTCAACAGGTTATATGCAGTTCACAAAGAAAATATTAACCAACATCCGAAACCGCCCTCAACGACAATGCGTTGAAATCCAGCACAACTAAACTAATACTACAGCTACAAAGTTAAACCAACTATACGCGAAAATTCAAAGCTTGCTAGAAAATGTTGGTCTGACGTCATCCTGTGGAAGCAGGTTTTTGCTATAATGTTCATTTTACTTGTTGACTTGAATGGTTCAAACTTTATGTGTATACTTGCGTAATTTATGTGAACGAGTCAGACCTTTCTGACATCATGTCGTAAATATTACTCTGTAAATATTATTCTGTTGTGTAAATGTTTGTTGGCTCGGCACCCACAGTCATTAATTATGACCGTTAGGAACAATTTATTTCACGGCGTGCGTGTATGATGTTATTCTTCACCTGTCAACACCCCACTCATGCGTGCGGAAGATTTTTTCGCATGAACTTTTTCTTGGGTAGTTTTCTTTTCGTTTAAAACATGGAACTTTTTCTTGGGTAGTTTTCTTTTCGTTTAAAACATGGTTTTTGATTTCATTTTTGTGGCGAATATTTGTTCATAAATTTGGTGGCCAAAACTACCATTTTCGATGCATTTAGAGATAAACTAAGTTTGAGGATTATCATACACACAATCCTGCAGTTACCTTTGGTGTTAGTCTCTCTCAGATTTTTTTTTCATTTCATATAATAATTGACAGCTAAATCGTGTTTCCTTCCCAGATTGCATGACGAACGAAGTTTGTGATTCACTTTAAATTTGTCTATTTCATTCGAGTTTACTTTTATAATAATTTCATATTCTTGAATACCCTGTATCATCGACAATGGCATTAGCAAACCAAACAAGTTGCCCACGACGACATTCTTCTCCGTGTTATACTAAAAATCATATTATGCTGTTTACAACGTTTTGTTAATATAGATGTCAGTTAAACCATAGACACTGTATGCCTACTATACTGTATATGATTGCGTAATGTTAGATATGGGTCCCATGCGACGTATTCAGAACGCACACATTGCTCGACTGATACAGAACACAGATTCGGAGGGCAGACTACGCGTTTAGTAAATTTATGCCCTCTTTACCTACTTTGTGCAATAAATAACTCCACCCTATGGCCTACTAATTGATCGTTGCAGTTTCAAAGGTTTTTTTGTTTAATTTGTTTGTTTAACTGTGTCCATCCTATTTCCAAATACGTCCGTAATTTAGAGGGTGAAAGGTACCAATAACTCAAACAATACACCATCCTATAAAATTGCGTCCTCTAGTAGCAGGGCGCCTCTGTGACGGGCGTCAAAATCATGAAGTGTGTGAGTGAGTGTCGGAGATTCATAATATATATTTGTATTCGTTTTCATATTGCTAATATTATTATTACATGTCATTTCGCTATAGTTAATTCGTTTACCTTTCGCATGAAGGATTCCTCTGAGTAATTCTCGACCAATTAGAATCATTTAATTTCAGCCAATCATTTTACTCTGTATTGTATCTTTTTCTCCCGCGTACTTCATTTTGTATTTCCCGCTTACGTGTTTTCTCTCACGTTCGATACGCACCTATATAAAGGGCTAGTTTCGGAGTTTCGGGGCTCCTTATTCATGTGTTACATGTTTCTATGCCAGTTTATCCAGCAATAAACCATACCGTGTTTTGCATCCACATTGACTGTTTTATTCTGCCATCAAGTTCAACTGAAGCGTATTATTATACCCCACAGTGAGGCAATGCCATTCAAACTCGACAACTCTGTATGGTTGTGTGTTCGTTCGCCATCTAATATATATCTGGTTCACACGTAACATTTACGCCGTTGTAGCACCGCCGTAAATTTAACGACGGTGTTATTTTTACCGTGTGACCAGTTTACGCCGGTGTAAAAATGGCGGATTTTACACCGGCGTAAACTTTCTGACCAGAGTCCGAGCTCAGACCTAAATTCTAAACAAAAGTGTGTGTGAACACGCACAGTGGCATAAACAGTGGCACAAATACCCTCTATCGGGAATTCATGTTCATGTGAGATAAACCCACAGAACTGTGCCGTCAAAAGTAAAACCTTTGAAGTCAAGATTCAAGGAAGCAATTGAAAATAATAACCGTAGTGATAGAGTACGAATATGTTCAAACACGGGTCTAACTATAGAGGGGGTTGCTACACAGGCCTAATATAAAATTACACCGGCGTTTTTAATGTCGTGTGATCGCAAACGAAATACACCGTTGTAGAATCAATGCGACGGAACACCGGTGTTCTCACTGGCCCTACAACGGCTTATTTCTAATCTGTGTGAACCAGGTAATATAGTAAAATCTCTCAAAGCACAATCTTCAAAGATGAACGACTGCAGATCAAAACGACACCAATGTTTTCAATGGCGGCCTTCATATCACCTATTTACGTCATCGAAGCGCGTTGTCAATGGAGGGCGCGATTAGTGGTAATTGTGCACTTTAGGTACAGTTTGTATATTAAGGTAGGTCGAGCCGAATTCAAAGTTTAAACTACTGAGCATGTTACTGCCCATGGATGCAATAACTTTTATTATTAGGGTTGGTATCAATAACATATGTCATTTTTATCCCATGTCGCCGAGCACATTTTGAAATATAAAATAAGAATCTCACTACAGAAACCAGCGTGAAAATAATCCGATTTTTATAATTTTCTATGACATTTGGGACTTTTATATCCCGAACAATTGTCAAGAGATCCAATTTTGTTTTGTCATTTTTGGTTGATATGAACTTATAATAATGAAATGTGGCATATATTTTCAACTCGACTCAATTCTACCTAGTGCGACAGAATATGATAAATGGTATATTGTTTTCCATGTCAGCAAATTGCGTACTGGCAGAGATGGGCGTACCAGTATTATGACGTGTAAATGTATGTAGCAGCCGCGATTTATTCATATTTACCTATCTATCACAGTATTCACCGATTAAACACGAAAATCATTCGAAAATCATTCGATGATAATTACAGCAAGTGTCCATCACATATATATTTTGGTATGCATGTGCCCCTCCCTCTAGGCCCAGTGGTCATCACTGTGATCGCATCGTGCCATAAATTTACGATTATGTGTTTAATTGCTGCATCTGAATACAGGTTCTTCACCATATTAGTTTGTAGTCACACATCGCGTTCAAATTTCATGTAAACAATGTATTTTTCACGTCCCCGCCCCCACCGGACGGTTTTGGTTTTCCATCAAATTCTAGAATACACAGCTTATATCGTCGCCCCGCGTCTTGTTCGACATGGGTCTCCTGCGACGTCACAGCGCATGTAGATTACACTGTGTTTACATGAAATGTCAATGCTTACGCTAACATGTTTTGAAGAGCGAGGTCTGGAACGCACTGGCAAGCGATTACAGTAGAAATATAACATTACAAAATGAGGACAAAGCTTACGTCATTTTATTTCAATCTCAATTAAAAGAGGAATTTGTTTACAAAACTTGATTTTCAGACAAGATATAAATAGTAAATGTGTACATATTAACAACATTCAAACCAGGTACAAGTTCAAATCCATTGGCTGAGGGCGTGTATCCGATGACGTCATGCGTGCGGATACTCTGATGATCGTTTGTAGCTACTCTGAAATTGATCGCCGGTTTCCCTGACTTATGGTTTTATTTTATGCCACTGCTCACAAAATCTAGATAAAAAAATTAATGGTCACTGAACTACTTTTCGCACAAAGAATGTGTCAAACATCTATAAACATGGAGATTTTTGAAATTTTTTCCAATGGTTACTATAGTAAAAAGTTCACAGCATATCTCACAATTTCGTTCGTATACATATGATGAAAAAATATGTAGAAAATAAGATAGTTCCTTATGATTATCCCGAATGATTGGGGAATTACGACGATTTTTTTTTTTTTTTTTTTAGACTGGTTTTCTTCGAAAGAATATTTTCTACTTGGTAAAAAATTATAAAAGTCAATGACTGATGTCTAAATCAATAATTATTTATCAATATTAAAAGAAATAAACGTAATTTGATTGACGGTATTTAATAGATGAGGTTGAATACCCGCGAACAACCTTAATTATAGTCTTTTTTCGGGTCCTACATTTGTGAATATTTTCCTAGAACAATATTACAATTAGGGCAACAGTGCACTGCGTCTTTGCACGCATCAATGCAAAACGGGATCAGACAACAACCCATCCAACACCTGCAAAGTAAAATAGAATTAGTGAGTGAATTAATTAATTAATATATGTATAAATGAATTAATGGGAGTGGATACAAAAACTATTTGCAAATTATTTTTATTTAATTTAAAGCGGGGAGTCGTCACCTGCGCATGCGCCAGATGGCCATATCGTGTCATTGTTTACAAACAAGCGTCTACCCATGAGCCTTTCGTTTTTAGTGTGTGTTGTTATCGTCGCCTGGTACTCAATTCCCGCACGTGAGCAGGTGATGACCCTCCCGCTTTAATAGAAATAAGTGCTTGGTTATGCCTGGGGATTTCTTATGGATACCTGGAGCTATGTTGATTGTCGAGTTTCTTTGGGCTGGTGTCGATTTCCGCAGCGCTGAATATATATATATATCAGTGTGAACAGGACACGCCCAACGTGTTAGTACTTACCCAACAAGACAGACGATACCTGCAGCAAGATAGGTAACGGTACCATTCTCATAGGTCACCGTGGTGACGATAGTATTGTGACAATGCGGACATTCTTGGCTTACAGGCACTTGGGTATATCTTATCCCAGCGGAGATCACGGTCACTAAAAAAAAAAGCACGACCACTACGGTTACTGCAAATGCCGTTATGTAGAATTGAAGTGTTCTCGTTTATGAACTTGGCTAGAGGTTCATGTTCATGAGATCATGGAGCTAGATGATGAGACAAATCATAGAGAAAAGTACTAATCAACAAACAACCTCAGGTGAATGTTCATTCGTCAGGTGATTTTGTGACGTACGAGGCTGTATATTACTATTATTGCTGAATAAATCTATTTTTAAAGAATAAACAACGCATTTGTGCAAAATGTCGTTTTAATTAGCCCGACGAAAGGCACATGACTGAGAATCAATATCGCTAACACGCGGTACGGTATGAGAACAACCGAAAAAGGTCGCCTTATCACAATTTCTCCTTGAATGCAGTGCACTGCAATCATGACGTATACAAGTACGTAGACGTGGTGTTACTAAAAAATGGCAAATATCACAACACATACGAGGTGTCATTTTCACCCCAGTTTCTCTAGTACATAAGTGGTCTACCTGCTGGCTGTACTGTCACGGGTTGTGGTTGTGCCTGCACACCTCCTGGGACTGCTTCGTTGTACGTCGGCGGCGGCGGTGGGGCTCGATTTTGGTCCATCTTTGCTAGAAATGTTACTAGTGAACAGTGCAGTAGACTGTAATATGTTGAATTGGCTTGAAGCTGAGTGCTTTGTGTGCAGTATAGGTTTGCAATGCTACACAATAGCGGACGTCACGAGATTGTGAAAAGGCCTTTCTAATTGTCAGTGGCTTTATGAACCAAGGTACATAGGAACGTGTAACGTCATAGGCACATGTTTGTTGGTTTCTATGTATAGCTGAAACCGATCAATAATGCATGATTGATTAGTGGCCTCGCTGTCCGTCAGACTTATTTTACGCAATGGTCACAAAAACCGAGTACACTCACTCCGTACGTTCTATTGTGAAATCCGTTAGTGTGTGATTCCATTTTACAGTTATTGTGCGTGTTTTTATATTCTACCGGTACGTTTTAACATTTCCTTCTAAATTATGGATAACGAACCATTGTTCGAAACGTCTAGTTATTTCGAATAGTTACTTAGTGAGGACACGAACAGATAAAATTTATAAAACTTACCATAAATATCATACTTAGCTATGCTACGCTCTTGTTCTCAGTTCTTTTATCTATTTTTTACTGATTTGTTTCCGAGTATTTGTATTGGATTCAGTTTACTTAAATATTGTGGTCATGATTCTATAAAATAAATTACTGTAAAATACTTTATATTAGCTGGAATTAATTTTCGCCGAAAAGATACTTTGGGCGTTTTTTATGGAGTTTTTTTTATTGATTTTTGACGAGATGAATGTAAAATATATGAAAAAAGGTATAAAATAGCGAAAATAAAGTATTTTACAGTAGCTTACCCGAGTAAAATTTTGGTCGCGATTTTATGCGGAGTATTGCTTTGTTCTACAATTTGATTACACTTATGAAATCGATATGTTTATGATTTTACGAAGCCTGGGTGAGGGAAATTTACAATACATTAATCATAGAAAATTGAAATGTGTGGTTGAGGGTGAATTGTTGTATAGCCCAGTGCACACTAACCTTTGACTTACGGTGGGCTGGACGGGGTGTCGTGTAACCTCATCAATATGTACAATGTGACAAGCCTGTTATGTGGGCATAATCTTAGCCAGTATGGCCTGCCCATAGCAACGAGCTCAAAGCGTGATATTTCCTAAAATAATTCTGAAAAAAAAAATTTTGCATCTTTTTCAAACCTAAAAAACCCAGGGGTCGCAATTTTGTTTATTGTGTCACATGCCCGTAATGTAAAAAAAATGATTTTTGTCGATTCAGTTAACAGAAGGTTGTATCCCTACCGTGTGTTATTTACGTTTGGGGCCTACTTCAAAACGTGAAAAGCCGTGGTATACGGTGTATTTTGCATATTAATTAAAAATCTGATTTTGACCAATCAGAACGACGTATTCAGACAAATAACATAGTTGAACTCTGGTGACCTTGCCCTTTGTTATATAATATAATTCCCTTTATCATAGTTTGTTTCAATATAAATATGCATTGTCATAATTAATTTTGAATACAAACAAGTTTTGGGGTTGAACCAACAGTGGGGAATCAGTCTACCGAATGTCCTTAAAAGATGTAAATATCTTACAAAAACATTGGTGCCTTATTTGTTTAATTATTTTAAGGAACATAATTTCCAGCTTTATTGAAAGTAATTGAGATATTTAGAATAAAATCAAATATCTCATTGCAAAAAAAAGTGCTACTTTTAGATGTGAATAGATTCATAAAACATGCAAGATAACAGAAAAATTTAGCTGGCTTTAGTTCAAGTATTTTGTACAGGTGTCTGTCAAAAATGAATGATTCACTGAGACAAATATGAACTGCCTCATTGTGTGACTACTGTATTATATGAAAAGTAAAAAAACACCCTTTATGAATAGCTATCATGTTGCAAGCTCTGCTTTGTATGCAAATCAACTTAAATAGTTGGTGTCCAGTGGAGGGAGAAGTCAACAGTACTGTTGCCTCCTGAGAAACTACATCTTCAAACACTGCAATGTCTGAAGTGCGTTTTTAAACTAGTATTATAAAAACTCTATCATTCTGTTCTAATAGCTGAAACATATTCCTGTGAGTTTTCATTTGTCGAATGAACTGTTTGTCAAATACAGAATACATATATTTTAGAATAATTTTCTTTTTAAAATGTGGATGAAATGTTTTGCTTTTAATGTATTTTTTATGTATTGTTTTTGATTTGATAACTTTTGACTAAACAGATTTTCTATTAGCTTCAGATCTTGATCAAAGTTTGGCACCCAGTTCATAGCAGTGCTTATATTGATTTTCTGACATCTTGTTTTCTGTAAAGATTTTATTGGTAGGTTTGCAAATGTGTATCAGACTGTGCAATCTCTCCATGAGTTGGTTTTGAAACCCAGTATGGGATTCTGAGATACATTACCAAGGATATTATTACAAGATAAATCATTTGCTTCATTGAACACATACAACAATGCATATTTCCACTGAGATCAGTGACCTTTGATGTGTATCACCAGTGATCAGTCAAGTAGAAATAGTCAAAATATTTTATCAGATTTTCTCAATTTTTGCATGATATTTTCATATAGGACATCTGTTGTTCAAACTCAGGAAGTTTGATAAAGTTTGGAATAGAATTATTAAAGTTATTATGCACACAATAACAATTATTAACGACGACGACGACAACAACAACGACGACGACGACGACAACGCCGGACAAAATTTTTCCCTTAATATACCTTTCCCTTCCATCTTTGATGGTACGGGCAAGGTAAAAATGCATAATATAATGCGTGTTTTTTTGTTTGCTTTTAAATGAAAGTTTCACGAAATAAAACATAAATAACTCACATATATATTTATTTATTTATCGCAAGGGGATTATAACATTTCTTTATTAGGTCTCATGTTCGTGTTCGACATGGGTCTTATAGCGGCCATGATGTGCACAACTGTGATATATTTATGTGTATTTCTATTCTATTTTAGTAGTGGGTCTCAGTTCTAGTAGACATTAGTTATATAGATTTGAGAGCGTGAATATTGTACCGTTTTTATGGTAGCGAGAGGGGAAACACAAGTTATAGTTTAATTGAGATAAGGACTTTCCTCGCCAGTTACTAAGCATGCAGTTATAGCAATGTATATGTTTTCAGAAATCTGCGATATAGCAGATTACGATCATATATGTTTCGTGTTAATATTTGCTCAGAGAGTTACGATCTTTCCCGTGAGCCTCCTAAACATAAAATAAGTGATGACAGTAGTCTGTACATAAGTAATTTTGACGTTTTGAGTGTCTAGCATGTCTAGCATATTGTTTTGTCATGTGATAACCTGTGAGCAGAATAAATACATTTATATTTTGGTAGTATTTTTTTTCCTTTGTATGTCGTTTCTTGGCGCAAGGACGTGACACACGTAGCGTGGGGCCGTGACAAGTACTGTAAAGGGGGTAATTATTCACTGGGTTTTAATTTAGCTTATTTCGCTGACTGGAAAAACGCGCTAAATTAAAACACAGTGAATATGTAAAATTTAGCATAGAACACATTATCTAAATGACGAAACCGTGAATTTAAAACCCACTGAATATGCTCGAAATGGTAAATCAGTGAAATTTAAACCCAGTGAAAATTAGTCATTTTACAGTATAAAATACATCATTACTAAGCCTCATGTGCAAGAACGCCACGTTCATTGGCCAGAACGCGTCCATGTGACGGTCAATAAAACTAATATTGATTATCTAGAGACTGAATTACTAGTATGTGATTGCTGTATGTTGTCTCCATAGATCTCCGATGTCATGTCGATTTCATTCCATGTGCATAACATGTTTCACTTAGCTATAGACAATTTAAATCAGAATACGTGACAAAGGAAAAACGAGGAAGATTCATTTTATTAACATCGATGCTGTTTAATAAAAACAATTCAGAATCGTTTACAAAAAGTGCAAATACTCACTGCACAGTCACCCAATACCCATCATCCCACCCTACCGAATACCCAAGATCACCCAACTATTAACTACCAACAGAATGCCGTCTACCCATTCTATCCTTACAATGCCTCCCACTTCCCTACTAGTCATGTTCCCCTCCAATGCCTAGGGTCGTCTGATTATTGGTTAATTTATAAAACTATAGTAAAATTAAATAAATGCAAATCTGTAATCGATAAGAAAGTGACGCCTCAAATAGCATCCGTAGCCGCTGAGACCAATTTGTTCGACGTGTGGCCAAGTCAAAAGTAGAAAGGCTTAAAAATATGTGTCCGACGTTTAAGTAAAACTTTGAGCTGGATATCATTTAAAACAATATACGTGTCCAAGCAACCCACGAATGTGGCTCCAGACGTGCACTACCTACTGATGCCCAATTGCAGAGAGTGAACTGTGACTTTGGGTCGACAACATTACTACATAATACAATGGACAAATATGACTGTATCAATATATCGTGTATCCGCTGCCGCGGTAAATAGCTGTGCCTGAGTTAAGAGAGGCGATCAAATTTTCCGACCAGCGTTTTACAGTTGGGACACGTATGCTCCACGTCTTTGCAGACATCCAGAAACAGAGGTATCAGGAAACAGCCAAGCCAACCGCTGAAATAAGAAAACAAAGAATACGAATGTTTTACTATAAAGCGTCGCGTTCAATGTGGGACCCATGCGACGTATACAGCGCGAGTCGTGTGTATTTACAAGAAATCAGAACGCGCTGTGCACTATGATGTTAGCTCAGCTTCAAATATCCCGAGATTGATCTTTTTGGGAAAATTGTTTTTTGGTGGTACCGTATATGAATAAATTACCAGGGCTTAAGGTACACGATCGGCAATCGGGAAAAGTAACCCGACGGTACCAGGTCGCCACTATGAAATATCATTTCGTCTTCGATAATTATCATGCACATCAAAACTGACACTTATTTATTGAGGAAATGCTAAGTACCCACACCATAACGTATTTGTTTGATAGTCGTGCCGAATCTATGCTTGCGAAGTTTTTGATTTGTGACTTTTTTGAAGAGTTAATGAGTTTCGTATAGTACAGTCGTGAAAAAGGCTTTGCTCAAATATTTTTTGTGATTGTTATGTCCTTGCGACACATGCTCTTGAAACTACTAGTATACTGACCAGCCTCATAGATTTCTATATGGTACATCATTACATCGCCACCATAGTTCGAAATACAGAGGGGCCATGAAACGAAAAACGAACTTTTGAAGAGAACATTTGATTCGAATGATTACGTCATAAACATCGTGTATTTAATACAACTACTAGAAGGGTGTGGTGATTCAGCAAAATCAGTATCGTGGTGATATGAGTGTTGAAGCTGTAAACCAAATCCTACGTGAATCGAGAAGTAGGGCAAGGTAAAAGTCAACAAACACGTGGCAATCAAACCGTGACGTGAATAAACAAAAAGCATACACGAATGTTATGGATATGGCAACTCACCCAAACACGCAGATGATACCAGCAACCATCCAGGTAAAGAGGCCGGTGACGTAAGATGTTTGAGTGGAAACCACTTGTTGGCATGAGGGACACTGCACTTGAACCGGGTAGTCACGGTAACGAGGGGAATGAACTGTGGTCACTAGAAATTACAGATACACAGTTAGGTTAACTACATGGAGGATAGAAGGACACAATTCCATACCAAAACTGAGTGCACCACGGGAACTGTAACAGTGGATTTTAACAGTTTCGATATCTCCGGCAAAACACGGAAGCATGCACGGTTCCCAATTCCCAAATGTACCAATAACCGCCCCTGAAACACTCTGATGTGTGCATAATTATAATAGTTCTTCATTCGAAGACAATAAACTTTCCTATAGGTCGCGCCCTCTAGCGACGAACCACATCTGTGACGTCAAAATGTCGTAATAGTTGATTAGCGACGTAGTTCAAGAAGACACTTGCAATTTTGTTATTGACAACGACCACGGATCAATTTCACACAATTACGCCACAAAATTTAAAGCGCTTCGTACTAGAGGACTTATAACAACGTTGCCTTGTATGAGTTATAAATCTATTTCTTTTATAAGGTATACACAATCCGAGTGTTATTGTGCATAATAAAATCATATCATAAATAATAATAAAAAACATTAATAGTATATACCGTTAGGTCCGGCTCCAACGACCACAGTCGTGCCCATTTGTTGACCAACTGGAGCTTGAACGTATCCCTGCGGCGGCGGAGGACCTTGTAGATACTGGGGTGGTGGTTGTTGAGGGTATTGGGCGGGTGGAGGCTGTTGGGGATATTGGGCGGGTGGAGGCTGTTGGGGATATTGTGGCGGTGGTGGCTGCTGACCGCCTAGTTCACCGCCGGCTGGCGGATATGTAAGGGGCGTTTCCTCCGGTTTCTCTGTCATCTTTGTCACACCTATTATAAACAAAATAAGTATATGTAGTTGTCCGTTTTGGTGTGGAATTACAATTATAAACTTCACTGTTGTTGGTAAAATAATAGCCCCCATGAGGCTGATTGCGGATTTTCCTATATATACTGACTTATATCACAATGCACCGGAGACTGACACTGGCTATAATAGCTGCCTCACTACGATAAAGTAAACCAGAACGCACACACTCAGTTTACTTTGCTTTGTACGACTCGGACTTGTCTAATATCTCTACATCAACTCCAAATTTTACACCTTGTCACGCCCTAAGACCTCGAAACAATACTAGTAGACTGGTATGTTGTTTGACTCCTCGCTGGATTTATTTATCCACTGCCTTATGCTCTGATGTACGTTCCCGGGGGTGTACGTTATTTCTGAGCTTCTACCCATTTCGATTGCGAAGGATATGCTGCCCTCAACGGTATCACTTCTGAAGACATTATCGTTTCCAAGTGCGTGAATGTTCCTCCATTTTGTAAATTGGGATATTTTTAAAAATAAATATTTGGGCTAAGCATGTGACGACTTTATCATCTATACCCAACGGTGATTATTAGTAAAACGGCGACGTCGACTGCACTATAGTCCTGATTGGTATAATTGTTTCAACCGTATCTTACGGCGTATTTTACAACCTTGACCATTGAGTACTTAGCTATCCAGCAATAATTAACACGTCAGTGACGGATCGTCTTCAGACAACTGAACCCGAATGTTTTTGTATACTACTACACATACCACAAACATAGTAGGGGGTTGGCAATGGGTAGCTGGTACAGTTTTACTGGAAATGAAAAGTTTTTGTTTACAATTTACAAGAAAAAAAAAGTCGTTTTTACAGTGAAAATTGAATGTTTTTATTTTACCTAAATTTTGCAGTGAATTGTGTCATCTAGTCGTTTTACAGTTATGAAAATGTAATTTCCCTGGATTATTCTTTACGATTTTTTTTTATTTGGATGTAAATTCTTGTACGTACCGAGAAAAATAACACATTTTTACAGTGTACGAAAAAAATATTTGATTGATTACGTTGTACGTCTAGCTTGTGATTACAGAATTACGGAATTTATTTGTTTCAATTTACGTTGTACGAACAAAAAAAATATTGCAATTACGTTGAACAAAAATAACCCTTGCCCCCCCCCCCTCCCATAGTAATACACTGCAATCGAGGTCAAGCCAAGGTCAAATACACAATGAATCACCCGATAGCGACTAATGTCGGTTTTTCTCTCTGTTAGTAGTGAACGTGAATGGTTTGGGCTGTTATTAAATCAAGACGTAATCCGTTGCGTACGACTGGATGATAATGCAAGATTGGGGGGTTTATATGAACGTTCTCGTAGCTATCAAATACCCGAAATAGCTTCAGACACAGTCCGTCGATCTCAAACTCAAGCTATGACGTAACAACATAACAGAATCCATTTTCTATGAGAACGAGAGCACAATGAGTCAGCAACAACTCACCTGTACACTATAACGGTCGCCAATACAAGCAATCAGCCACAATAACAAGAGGACACTGACCCTCCGATAGTAAAACTGTCTAAGACTAATGTATTATACTAAAGGGCAGGAGTATGTATTTACGCACTTGCACTGCTAGTCACGTGATCTATACGGGGGCGCTGCACTCAATCACTTTCATACATTTAAATAATTGTCATTATGCAATACTTGAGTTTTACCACAGGGAGCCCAGGCACTATGATCAACTGTACGCACTCTCTATGAACGGGGAAGGGGTATCGGCTAGTATCTAGTGTAAGAAATAGACAAGGGATGAAGGCTCCAGCCAGCTCGTATTTTTTAACTGTAAAAAACAGAAGAACAGAATGAAAAATAAAATCTATAAAAAATATCAGGTTGAAGAATATTAGTTGCTCTTTCAAATTTCGCCAAAGCTTTGCCTATATTTTACCTATATCTGCAGAATAAATCAAGAAAACTACACAAATTGACTCAATTTACGAATAATTAACGGTTTGCCCGAACGCATGGCACAGTTGGAGGCGCGGCCTGTTCAGCATTTGTCAACAACCAATCACAAGACAGGTTACGAACCAGTTGAGCAAGGTTAACCGAGTCGTGACTTCGATGTGGTTCGTACCTCTTGGACGACGACATACTCAAGAGACCGGTGCGCCGTTTGATTTTTTACCATGAATCTCACTTTAAAATTGGTAGCCAAGTATTGACATGCCTAGAGTCATATTAGGTGACTTTAGAAGTAATGGAACACTGTCTTGTAACTCATATCACGGCTGACACATACAGAAAATGTCCCATTTGTAAAACTAGTGAAGTAGAGGATAAAAATACACTTTCTTCTAAACTGTAAATTATACATGAATGAAAGAAACGATATACATGTATTCAAAAATTAGAAACACAGCCTAAAAACAATACCAATAGAGAGAAGTTAGAAACTCTTCTAAATAACAAAGATGAAAAACTGATTCTCAAAATATCAAAATACATTCACAAATGCTTTCTTATGAAAAAAGAAAATATACAGAGATTGTTAGCTGCCCTGAAAATATAATGCATTCTCACATTTATATGTAAACTATTTATTTACTACTTTGTAAAAGACTTTTTTTACTGTTATTTTTTTTCTTTTTCTGTTAAATTTTTATTTTTAGTTGTTGTATTTTTTGTATTTTAAATATATATGTTCTGTATCTTTTAATCTTTATTGTATGTTAGTCCAGATCTCAATGGAGATAGGTTGACAATAAAGTTATTAGTATTATTACTATAATTATTGTTACGACTGGTTATAACCTAGTAGACGGGTGTAATCTTAAGTATTATAGTTTCAACACTGCGAATGGGTTTCTTAAGTTGTGTGCATTAGACACATGTTGTTGATAAAGCAACATATGAGTAATTATTTATAGAGATTGTCTTGTAAGTTATATGTGAGCAGCCACAATAACACAGTTGTTATACATGATACCTAAAAATATGCAAGCGATCGATGTCCCCGCCTATACCATACTGTTGTGTCTGGCGCGGTAAGTAGTGGGTGTTGAACGAAATACAATACTTTAAATAACGTGAGAACATAGAAAAAAAGCTAATTTACAAGTGAAGCTGAATCATGGACGTACTACTTTTCTAATGGTGTTGTAGGTTGTGATGTCAACAACTGGCTTACAGTGACTATATTAAATTTTGTCTATATTTATTCTCCATGTATCAATAGGAATCAGAAAATGTGTGTATTCCAACAAAATAATAAATGCCCGGATGTGTCTGGTGTCTTGTATATAATTAAAGGCAACAGATTTGATTTTGCGTAATACATTAAATATTTTGTTATATCCAAAAATGTTGATGTACGGATTACAAATACATCCGTTCGAGGCGCGACTTTTGGCTATATCACAGTCCCTCTATATATAATAAAATAATGCTTATCTATGATTCCTACGTCCATGGCCAATCAGTCATTCCTCAGCTCCTGAGAGCGAAGTTATTTGTAGTTATGTTGGCAATCGCCGCTGTGTCTGCAGAAGTACTATGGGAGATTGCATGATGGGAGTGAAAAGCCTTTTGATTAGTAAAATAATTTTTACAAAAGTGAAAACTAGAGTGACTGTGAAATAAAGGTTGCTTTTAAATAATTAATATCATGGAATCTGGATGAAATAATTGAACTGGTTTTATCTGTATTTATATTTCAGTAACAAGTTGTATGTGCATGATCTGATGCCCCCTTGTGAACCAGCTTTGCATATCTTGATCTAGACCGCGTTTGTCCAAGGGGTGGTCAATCCGCACGGGTACCGGTGCATTTCCTTTCCTTGGTAAACATGGCATTGGGTCATTTCTAATTGACATATTCCCCGTACTGATTACAGTCCCAAGTAATTGCAAGACAGATAGCGAGAACCGAGAATATTCTGGCAAGTTATCTTGTGATGGATTGTATAGAAGCCAGTCTATTTAAAGGGTGGCAGTCTTCGCGCCGCGTCCTGTTCGATAAGGGACTCATAGCGACGTATACAACGCGTGTAAATACATTGTTTATTTACATGAAATTCGAACACGCGCTGCGCGACGATCACCGCGCTTTAAGATTACACAAAATACCCAAGACTTGAAGTCATTCAGTTTAATGCACTGCCATATATAAAATGATATGTTACCGTTTTCATACCGAGATCGCCTATACATATCCGTTCGTGCTTAATATGCTTAATGAGCATAATATTCTGGATGGTATACTAGTATATTGAACAAACATTGACGAAACGTAATTGGGAACCATCCCATGAACATTAAAAAACAAAACATTGAAAGTCAGTATAATTTCAATGATTATGGCAGCCAATTTAGCTCGAGGTGAATTGAAAAATAATGTGCTGCAGACAGACAAACACTTTCCAACTCTAGGAAAAATATATAGTTTAGGAAAACACTTTTCATTTTTTTTTGATGTAGCTAGTTTGACCAACTGAGATTGTGACTCATTTTCTATCTCTCTATTATCGATTAGACTAGACAAATGTATATTGCCCGTACTACCAGTAGTCGTGATTGACATTGACATTGACATTGACATTGACATTGATTTGTCAGCATTAAATCACATATTGTTGAGATTTACACCAATTTTTACAAAGTGAAAATTTTGAATAATTTCCATGTTTTTCAGCTGTATAGATAATTGTGTCTTAAACAAAAATGACAACTAAGAAACAATGGCATATCATTTACAAACAAGCAGCCTGCCGGCTGTTAGCAATGCACATTGCAATTAATTAAAGAACAGAAGATGTCATTAGAAAATGAACAATATGTATAGTATCAAAGCAATCGGAGTTGCTGTTTTCAACAAGAATTCAAAAATATCACTTTTTAGCAAAAATGCCAAAAATATTCACTAAAATTAGAGAATTGAAGATATCATCACAAAATGAACACATCTGAGAAAGATCCACATGTAGTACCTATATATGTAATATCAAAGCAATTGGACTTGCAATTTTGAACAAGAAGTCGAAAATATCACTTTTTTTCCAAAAATGACCAAAATATTCACCAAAATTAGAGAATTGAAAATATCATGAAATGAACAAATCTAAAAGAGGTCTATCCAAGGTACATATACACCAAGTATCAAAGCATTGAGGCTTGTAGTTTTCAAGAAGAAGTCGAAAAAGTAAAACATTGACACGGATAATCACTCATATGATCAGCTCCGCTTGACAAAGTCAACAGCGGGGCTAAAAAAACGAAAGTAGAAGTCCCAAGATTGAACATTGGGGTCACTGGCATTTACATCGTTACAGCATGACAGTTTTCCTTAGTAGTAATTGAAGTGATGTCATAAACTGGCCAATGTCATGACCAAACTCTGAAAAAATTGTGGCACTCCATTTTTACTAAGGGGTGGAGTAATACTGCGCAAACTGGACCACAGGATATAAAACCAGAGACAACAGACATAGTAGCAATAATCGTCATGAGCTAACAAGCTCAAGATGGCCGACAGTCGACCATTTTGAATATTATCTACGACCCAAAGTGATGTGCAATAGGGTCCAATAATGTCAGGGTCAAAATCTAGTTCTGAAATGACAGAAATGCTTTTGATGAATTTAAAGCAGGAGGGTTGTTACCAGTGCACACGCATAACGACACACGCTAATCAAAGAAAGCTTAAAAGAACTCCCGTGTGCTGAGAGTATTGGAGACACATTAAAAATTAATTCAAAAGTACTTGAACTTGAGATGTTGATGAAAACGCAGAAAACTAATTATGCAAATAAGGTAACTAATATGAACAGATTTAAGTGTAAAACTAATAAAGTCTGCACAATGTACCAAGTTTCCTTGAAATGTGATTAGAACCAAAAAATATTAATTATTATGCTAATTAGAGAATTAATATGAACAGATTTTAACCCAAAATTAATCAGGCTATTGTCTAGAGCATTTATGTACCAAGTTTTATTCAAATGTGATGATCAATACTTGAGATATCAGTATTAATTAATTATGTTAATTAGGTGATTAAGAAGCATAAATATTTACCGAAAACTAATATGTTGTATAGTCCTAGGTTCTATGAAATGTGATGGGTACTCTTTAAAAGTTTCATTGAAATCCAATGAGTGGTTTTTAGACATCAGTGCAACAGCCATAGAACAGCAAAAAATTAACTAATTATGCAAATTAGGTAATTAATAGGCACAATTATTTATCCCAAAATTAATCAGGTCTCTGCATAGTCCTAGAATATCTATGTTGCAAGTCTCATTGAAATGCGATGATTAGTACTTGAGATAACAGGTGAAAAGTTGAAAATTAACTAATTATGCTAATAAGGTGATGATTAATATGCACAAATATTTACCCAAAAACTAATTAGTCCTCAAGTAACTATGTACCAAGTTTCATTGAAACGTGATCATTACTACTCGAAATATCAAAAGCTGAAAATTAATTAATTATGCAAATTAGGTAATTAATATGTACTGATATTACCCTAAAAACTATCAGGTCTGTGCAGTGTCATATGACATCTACATGTATGTACCAAATTTTATTGAAATGTTATGATTAGTACTTGAGATATCAGTGGAAAAGCCGAAAATTTATTAATCATTATGTAAATTAGGTAATTAATAATATTAACAGATTTTTACCCAAAACTAATCAAATCTGCGCATTAGTTCAGAGCATCCATGTGCCAAGTTTCATTGAAATCCAATGAGTGGTTCTTCAAAAATCAGTGGAACAGTCATAGAACAGCTTAAAATCAGTTAATTATCATGCTAATTAGGTAATTTATATTCATAGATTTTTACCCAAAACTAATCAAATCTCTGTATTGGTTCAGAGCATCCACGTGCCAAGTTTCATCAAAATCCAATGAGTGGTTCTTCAAATATCAGTGGAAAAGTCTTGGAACAGCTAAAAATCAGCTAATTATCATGCAAATTAGGTAATTAATATTCATAGATTTTTACCAAAACCTAATCAACTCTGCGCATTATCCTGGAGCATTTATGTACCAAGTTTAACCAAAATTTGATTGGTGGTTCTTGAGATAACCGTGGAAAAAAAAAAAGTGACATACATACATACAGACATACAGACAGGGTAACTGCAAAGACTCCCTTTTGTGCTTCGCACACAGGAGTCAAAAATTTAAAGGCTCATGGGTATACGCTCGTTTGTAAACAATGACACGCTATGGCCATCTGATGCATGCGCAGGTGACGACTCCCGCGCTTTAAGCACTAGTATAGCTATCCACAATTTGGTAATATTGATTCGAATTACAAAACAAATGCACAAATGCAGGCATGTCTGAGATACAGGAGCTAATAGACAAACAGACGAATCGATACATAGGAACACTTAGAAAGGGATATTACAAGTGCATCTGAACGGGAACTGAAAGTGTCCCAGGTGCATAATTTAATGGCAGGCGGGTTGGAAATGAGAATTTGTCTTCCCTTACCTCAGAATTTAAAAATTAATTCAACGATCTCAAGTTGACTGGTGACAGGTTCAAGTATGGATTTCAAGCAAACTGCGTAATTGCTGAAGAACAGAGAATATTGCATTTATTGTCATGTGAGAAACAGAATTTACAGATACTGGATATTTACAAATAGTCTTGAAAACTGACCCTCGAAAATTCGGCAAAATCTGCTCTGCATGCAAACACACATATGTATTTAAATTTAAAGGCACCATCTGAAAGTTGAAACAAGTTTTGTTTTTTTAATATAAGGCAGAGATTAAATAGTATTCAATAAATATCTTAATCAGTTTCAAGTCCGCATCGCTTTCTATATTGCCATGATTATTACTTAAATTACAATGAAATTCCACGCAATCAACTTAAGTTCCATTATCTTGATAATTTGGTATTGCTAAGCAACAGCTCAAAATATAGTACTGTAAAATACTTTATTTTCACTTGGAATTAATTTTCGCTGAAGGAACGATTCAGTCAAAATAAAATCCAGCGAATATAATTTTTTTCCTATATTTTACATTCAACTTGTCAAAAATCAGTGAAAATAAATTCCATACAAAACACCTAAAAAGTCTTTTCAGCGAAAATTAATTCCAGCTAAAATAAAGTATTTGACAGTATACCAACACGTACATGTGAGAATTCTTTCTACTCAAAAACTAAAATTGTTTGAATTCACTCCACTGTGCATACATGAAATGTGGTTGGTTGAAGTGAATAACTGAAAATAATTAGCAATAATCGCTAATGTTTCACATTTGACAACTCATTTTAAGATATTGATCACAACACTCATACAAGCATTCTTGAGGTTAAACAGTAAATTTCACACTTAAATATTGCAACTCGAAAAAATATTATTCTGAAAACTACAACCACTTTTTGTTTCATATTTCAAATTATAATAGTACATTATATATAGGTCAACCAATCATACAGAAGAAATAGCTGTCACATAGTGCATATTTGAACTGGGTGTTAGTAAACAACATATTTTATATGTACATGTATTGTATACATACATGGGACCCACACTGAGAACAAAGCACAAAGAATGTGACATTTTAATAAGACCTCAGACTAGTAATATTACTAGTCTGAGATAAGACTGACTGTCTTCAGTGTTAATCATTTTTGTCATGGTTACTGGAAAAAAAATTCTTTATTAACACTTGAATTACCGTCCATTTGAGCTGATTCACAACTGAATTTAAGCCACTGGTTATCATACAGTAACCAATCGTGACTATTAATACAGTGCATTTCATTCTTGTTTTAGCAGTTTATATTGATCTGGTTTTTTTTGCACGGTTTGTAAACTCACATCAAAATCACATCGAAATAAAACATCTAGGCTTTGTTAATAAAAAAAGGCACTGAGTTTAAATAGCCATATTTGCATATATTACATATACATGAATTTTAAATATTTGTGATTACATGGCGCAATAGAAACCATTAGTTTTGCAGGAACTCATGGCTGACATTTTAAAAGTCAGAAAGAAGAAAATTTTCAAATAATCTTCTTGATAATTTATCACTATATATTCAGAACATTTCAAATTGCCCAAGATATAATGTTATTATTAAAGTCACTGTACTGTGCCCATTAAAATACCCCCCCCCCCCCAAACCATAATTTCTATGATGTAACTTACATTTTACAAAATATCACAAATTTTAGGTTTAGGTAGAATAATACCTTGCTGACATCATCCCAGCTGATTGTGTTATAATGTTAATTTTTGTGATCAATATAGTTAACTGTGAAATATCGAAGTGAACAAAGATAAATAACTTTCTAGTGTGCTATTTGTTGCTATATACTATAAAATGAAAGAGTGCGCGATTTCACGTTGATGGTGTCATGTAATTTTTTGATATTTTCCCTAAAACTGTTTTTTTTTTCGTGTTGCCAAACCCAATTACTTTTGTGGAAACTTGTTTGAAAGTTACTGCTAATATATATCTTTTCAAAAGTGGTGCATATGTGAACCAAATTAAACAAATATTAAACTGCAACTGAGGGGTATATTGGGATTTATTCTGTTCCATGTGACTAACTCTCTTCTCTAAATCTGAATTACGGTTATAGAGAAAGAGACAAGTGTTGTACAGTGATTAATGACGTGCATGTATTTACTGTAAAGGGGTTAATTATTCATTGGGTTTTAATTTTGCTTATTTCACTGACTGAAAAATGTGCTAAATTAAAACCCAGTGAATATGTAAATTTTTGAATAGAACGCATTATCTAAATGATAAAACCGTGAATTTAAAACCCACTGAATATGCCAGAAATGGTAAATCAGCGAAATTTAAACCCAGTGAAAATTAGTCATTTTACAGTGTAGTTTAAAGGAATGTAATGAAAACTTGGCTGTATTTTGACAACATTTTAGGACTGTTTCATCGTTTTAATCTAAAAAATCACATTTTGCTGATTATTTCACTTTTGATTAGAAACAGTTGTAAATCTGAGTACAGCAGAAACCATACAAATCGATAAATAATGTTCAGGTCTAATAGTATATCTCTGCCATAAGCTTGTAGCAAACTCAAATCCTATTTTCAAATACACCTAAGTAAATGTAAATTGAAATTCAGAAAAATGTACAACATGCATTTGCTTGAGGGTTTTTTTTACTAAGTATTTCTTGTTGACCATCAGCCTCTGGTGTATCCAAGTTAGCGCAATCTCTCGTACTTGCCAAGCAGGGCACCGCAGTTAGGACAGAAATGTGTGCAATCCTTCAGACCGTCTATGCAGAACGGTATCAAGAAGCACCCCAACCATCCTCTGTAATGAGATATAAACATAACATGGTAAAGCAAGGTGTGTACAATTTAAAGAACAAAAAAAATAACTGACAAGTCATTGTCAATGTCCTTGACAAGTTTTTAGTGACTCTGTCAATCATGAACAATGAAAGATGTAGACATCCCATATAATCCTGTACAGGAAGATCTAGCATATTAATGCTTTGCTTGCTGAAAGATCAACAGACAAATTAAAATCAATGGGGGAAAAGGAGCCAGCAGATAGCATATGTTAACATGTTATTTATTTCGTATAAAGACAACTTTTCTTGAACAATAAAACCAGCATGGCCATCAGTCGGTCATTTTGAGTCAAATCACAAACAAACTGACATGCATCAGTAATGCAATACATGTATACATGTATACATACTAAGTTTGAAGGTCAGAGGTCGTCGTGCCATGTCCTGTTTGATATGGGATTCATAGTAAGATACAATGTTTGTTTACATGAAATTCGAACAGGCGCTGCGCAACGATCACTGCCCTTAAAAATTGCAATAATAACATACTCATCCTTCTTAGCATCCACAGTACACTGCTCTGGTGTCAATAGAGCAAAAAACTAAATTGACACACACACGTCATCTTCAAAGTAAATCTGTTTTTATCAGTCACAAACAAATATCCATATTTTATCATTCAATAGGTTGCATAGTTAATACAAGCAATTGAGAATGCCACAACCCTCTGTTTTGTACTTTAACACATGACAAATGATTTGTTTCTGATCCGGGAATGTGATGTGATTCTTTTTAATTGGCATCAGAAAAGGCTGTAGACATAGACATGAATAAGTAAACATTGTTCATTTCATGCGTCAGCTGTGAGGTCAATAGATCTTTGGAATTAATTTTTTTTTCATTTATCATGATACGACTAAAAGTGAGTTTGTTGGATGTTATATTGGAAAATAGGTTAGAACCAGATTACATCATTAACTGCCCGGAAACCAAAATGCAATGCATGGTGCAATCACAAATATTCAGAGACTGTCAGAGTACAACGCAGTATTCTGATTGGTTAATGGTATTCATTCTAGGTAAATAAAATGGTGCTGCAATCAAGATGTTCAAAATTGCTTTAAACAAAGTAATTGCAGCATTATAGCGTGATTCACAATATTTTGCCTGGTTTATGTCATTCAAATCACAAAGTTTTCTCTTTTTTAAACCTAAATTTGCTTACTTGTCATTCATGTAAAAGCTCTATGACATTGATACTCACAGTAAAGAAACTGGACAAGAAGCCTTTTCATACGAATAAGTGGTTCGGTTCTAAAAAATAGTGCTACATTAGTTGATGAGCTTGTCATCATTATCCTTGTTACACTTCTATGACCCAGGATCATCTACAAGCAACGTTTCAGAAAACCAAAACAAAATGGTGTCTCCACAAGCAATGTATTGTTTTTGTTTCCATGGCAATTTGTCACAATTGTAGTCTCTAATGACTACAAAAACAAGTCATTGAATGTTCTCTTTGTGCTTGTCATATTAAAGTGGAGGTGTTGTCGTGAGCGTGTTCTTGAAACTTGAGTCCCAAGTGGCATATACAACAGATTGTTTATTTACTGTAAAATCTGTATTAAAAGCCGCGGCTTCCAATAAAATGATACAATGCAACAGAGGGGATGTGGCTTCTATTAGAGCATCTACACATATGAGAAATGGCGAATTTTTAGGTCTCAATTGTTCAAAAAAAATGGGTGCGGCTTCTATTAGGGATGCGGCTTCTAATACAGATTTTACGGTACATCAAATTCGAACACGTGTTGCGTGATGACCCCTCCGGTTTAAGACATAGCAAAGAAAAACATAGATCACAAGTGAAAGCAACTCCAAGTTATCTTATTTTAAACAAACAAGATGGCCGCCAGTCGGAGACCGAATTATGAGTCCCCGGTTTCGGACTTCGTCTGAACGGGGACTAAAAATAATTAGAATAGAGTAGATACATACCCGAGTAAACAGATAACACCTGCTGACAACCAGACCAAAATACCATCATCATAATGTACTCTGGATATCACTTCATAGGAGCACACGTTGCATATAGTGCGGACAGGATAGTCTCGAAATGATGTTGTAATAACTGAAATGAAAAGAGTTACCAAATCAACAAGGGCACAATAAATAGAAATTTACTGTGTGATTATTCTACTTCTAAGGCTGGTTGAACCGAATTTAAATTTTGCACTACTGAGCAAAGCAATGTGTGACAGAATTTGGATATATATAACCGAAAACTATTTTTTTTGAAATGTTTCAATACATATTAACACTATAGTAATATACGGTAGTTTCACTGTACAAAATTTTTAAATTACTGTAAAATACTTAATTTTCGCTTGTAATTTATTTTCGCTGAAGAATGATTCAGTGAAAATAAAACCCAGTGAAAATACCTTTTTTCCTATATTTTACATTCAACTCATCTGATATCAGTGAAAATAAATTCCATACAAAACCCCCGAAAAATCTTTTCAGTGAAAATTAATCCCAGCTAAAATAAAGTATTTTACAATAATATATAATAATGAAAACATTAAGACGATAACATACACGTATCGCAAATATTTAGGTGTAATTTTTCGAACGTATTTGTTGTTACTAGCATGAATGGGTAAACTCTGTTTAGACAATTAGCTGTCATAGCCGTAAAAAGAGATAAATCTTTCTTCAATGCTTTTAAAAGGTACTACCGATAATTTTTTATTTAAAAAAAAAATCATACTGTTTTCCCACCAAATTCGAAGGCAAAAGAACTAACTACAACATAGATGAATTTTTTCTGTGTTGTGTTCATCATTCATGAGAGGTCGCTGAACCATCATTAACATATTTAAATGAGCCATGGTAATTTGAACATGTTGGCACCATCCAGCATTCTGATTGGTTAATTAATAAACAACTTGACCTATCAGGTCAAAGAACATAATTTCAACTGCAGGTCAACTCGTTTATGGAAAAAAAACATGGCAGATATTGTATTGCATCATGCATTTACATGCAACTAAAAACATTCACTTACGATGAAACTAAGTTGAATTTTACTTGCATTTCATAACCATCCAACGAATTGAATTTTTGTATGTTATTATAATCACGACTGAATACTTAACTTAACACCTCAAAAACAAGTTATTCACTTGTGAAACACTGCATGTTCACTTTTTCGCTACCAACAAAATAAAAACCAATGCATATTAGATTGAAATCACTAAATATTTTATTTATTATCATGTAGAATTATTATTATTACATTCTTTGACTAATTTTGACTAATAATTGTTTAACAGTTTGTAATGCCCATTTTAAAATTAAATTCAAGGCTTTTTACTTTTCCATGACACCTATATTACACAATTTATATTACAAATTGTGTGGAGATAACAGTTAGAAAACTGGAATAAATCTTTTCTTATATACATGTACGTGTCAGGAGAGTAAACATTGAAATTGCACTGTCCTTATGGTAAACATGGTTAAGTATACTTAACCCCCCCCCCAAAAAACAAAACAAAAAAACAACAACAACAAACAAACAAACACATTTTTGTCAGGAATGTAGCCATACTGTAGATGAGCTACTGGAACATACACTATTGTGTAGAACAATGTAAATTGAATTTCCAAGGGATTATGGGTCATGACATGGGATTAACACATACATGTAATAACTGGGTGTGTACTCAAACTAATCAAAATGATAAGTGTTATTTTTTAAAAAGACAATTGATGTATTTATTGCAGCTGGTAATGTACCATCTGTTACCTGACAATGGTCTGCACAAATATGTCAGAAACTTGAATCAAATTTATCCAAATATGATAATTATTATGTGTTTTATTTTTATTAATACTGTAACTTAATATTTATGAATATATTTATTCTCTGTCTCCCTTTTTAATTTGCAAGTGACTGTCAATTTCATCTGTGAATGGAAATGTTCATGAATTGTCCATGATTTGTATATATTGAAATCTAAATTACCATTATATTTATAATATTAGTAATCTCATTTAAAATTATATTTACTAATTTTTAACTTATAAAGGTTGTCTGTATTTTAATCGTACAGCTAGTAAATTGATTTGAGTCTTTGCAGTTAGTGTGTCTATGTTTATCTCAAGAACTACTAAATGAATTCCAACGAAACTTGGTACAATGTATAATATAGTCAGCGATCATGAAAGGCAATGTGTTTGATGTACAAGGTACAAAAAATAGTTGTGATATATATTGTAGAAAATATTACAAGGTGATTTATCCACAGAGCCAAAAAAAAAGCTGGTTTGTCAAAATAAAATAACCTATATAATTTTATTTTTATTTTTGGTACTAGTAGTATTAAAATTATAGGGTCGTATATGAATGCATTATTGAAGAAATGCCTTTGTGTGCGATCATGAGTAATAAATATATATATACTGTAAAACATATCGTTTTCGCGAGCATGTCTTTTTAGCGAATTTAGTGAGAGAACTAATGTCACTAATGACTTCATTATAAATTCAAAATGGCGGCCAAACAACGTCTTTTTTTTCCACACACACACTTTGTAAACAACACAGAAAACGTAATAATCTGGAGCGCTTCCTTATTACACTTGACAGTTTTTCTTTGTTTTTATGGAGGTGATAACTAGGAATTTGTTTTGGCACGACAGACAAGTATTGTGAAAACAGGAAATCAACTAAGACAAGAGAAATTCGCTAAATCAATATTTCGTCATTTTACCACAATTCGCTAACATGTTTTCCAGTATTTATAAACCAATTTATTGTACCTGGATCACAACCTTTTTGGATCATAGACACACCACTGTCAGGCAGTACTAATATAGCAACTACAGTACATGCAACTAACCCTAATCAATCCAGTCAGTCACCTGTCAACACCTAAATCCCTGTGATCATATTTTGACATCTGTGAAGCATTAGGAGGTTAATATACTCATTATGATAAAAAAAAAAAAATGGTAAAGTAAAGAGCCTTTTTTTATTTTATTTTTTCATATTTTGGATGAGAAAACAAAGTGCTGTAAACAGTTAAATTTTTATCAAATGAAATGATTGTGATTTCATAATTCGAGAACACTAACTTTGAAAAAAAATGACCAACTGTCAATGATTTTCACAGAATTAAACCTGCATAATTTGTTCTTATAATTTTGATCAAGACTTGAAATGAATAAAAAATTAAGATAATTATGGAGAAAAACATGAAAATTGACAAAATATTTCACTGAAATTTCAGCAAAAAAAATGCTAGCATTAAAAGAACTAAAAACCCCAAACCAAAATTTGTCAAAACTTGCAGAATTTAGTTGTAAAAAAAAAATAGAAGCATCATATATGCTTACAAATTATAAATTAATACAACTAAAATGGCAAGTTAGCAAGTTATTGGCTGTATGATAAATCCTTAAAATAATACTTATTTTCATCAAAAAAACATCTCTGTAATTCCCAATTTTCAAGTTCTCAATGGCAGCTAATTTACATATGCATTTCAAGGTTTCGCCATGCGGGGGCGTACTCCCAGTGGGGTTGTTTTTTGCTGTTCACAGAAGCGTAACAATGGAAAATTTGCATTCGAAAAAAGATTCTGAATTACGTCAGTTTCTACAAGAACGAGGAATAATAATACACAAAAGGCCAAGCTGATTGAACTCGTGGAACTTGCAAATGAGTTAAAAGTTCACCCTTTAGAGCCTGACGATCGCGAAACCTCGAGCAAGCGTCGCCGTACAGTTCAGGACAAGGAATCTACCCTGACATTAGAAGATCTGTATACTATCAAAACCTGGGAGAAAAACCTCCAATACATGCCATCATTCGAAACTGCAGATATATTTGCATACTTATTACATCGATGTGACTGGACACTGTCCAGGTTAAAAGAATATCAATATGACAATGGTTTTCTTCTGTACAAAGATGGACATATTGTTTCTGTCAAGCTTCACCATGTTAAAGAAACTGAAGTTATTTGCATCATGGCTGAGTGTGTTCGAGAAAAATCCCATAAAGAAAAAAATTACCAATGTTGGTTTCTGGTTAAAACAAGTTCAGAAATAATTTCCGGTGGCTGTAATTGCGTTGCATAAGTCAGTTTTTTTTATTAAGAACTAGACGCAACTACAAGTGTCACTGAACATATGTTACACTTCCGCTACTTGTCGACGTGACTTGAAATAAATGTTATTAATAATCGCTTTAATGATTGTAATTTCCATTGAAAATATAATAGAGAACATGGGTCATGCAAACACTGTGTGGCACTACAATTCAGTATCCAGGATTTTGACTTGCGCCACTAAGATCGCGCAACACAGGTCGGCACAGATGTTGCATGTTTATGGGACAAGCCGAGAAAGGAATCCACCCCCTGCAAATTGATAATATTGATATAAGACAAAATAAATCGCATTCAGCCACTGCTAAACCAACATTGTCATCTTACAACCCAGGAAGAAAATCATGCCATGTGTCCGACATTGAACTAATGACATCACTTTCACTAAATCAGCGAAACTTGTCGCATTGGTTTAAATATCGACATGGCCATATAACAGCCAGTATAGCTCACTGCGTGCTTCATATGCAGGAAACTAATAATTCAGACAACTACATTGTGAAAACAATACTAAGTACTCGCAATCAGCAAGTGCAGTCTCCGGAACTAGATTTTGGCATCGAGAATGAACCTGTCACACGTCAGTTATATTTTGAGAAGTACCAGACTAGGCATAAAAACGCCGACATTAAAGATTCCGTTAAGCTGGAGGGCTATGGATATTTTGTCAGATTATTTTTTATGGCACTGGAAAAACAGCCAGAAGCGTTGCAATACCAATTTACCATTGTGATTACTGCGTCCTCGAAAGTAAGCAAAGAAATTCACTTTGTGTTTCAGCAAGTAAATGCCAAAGCTGTGGTTATTTTAACCCCACTCAGAGCCATGACAGTGGTTGTCATCCGGGTACTTTGATAGCCCTCTAGCGGCTTTCTAGCGAAAACCAGGAACTCGAAAATTGATAATTAGGTAACACCCACCTGTAACATTTGTCTGCGTGATTGGCTGGGTCGTGTACGGTGGAGGTGGAGCTGTGCTGGGGACAGCCGTTGAATATGCAGGAGGCGTTGGGTCATCCATCAACGGTTTATTATCAGGTTGGCTCATCTTTGCTTATATCTGTTAACGGAAGCATCAAGAAAATTGAATTATCACTGACAAATAAATATATCAGTACATGTACATTGGGTCATTTTATTATGCCAAAAATTGATCAAAGAAAACTAAAGAAAATGAATACATAAAATAAACAGAGTTCTGCTGCGTGAGAATCACAATTGTCAGGGAACCTACGTTTCAAGTTTCATTGAAATATGCTGAAAAGTTCTTAAGATAATAACATACAGGTATTTTGACATAAAGGTATTACTGAATTAACTAATTATCATGCAAATTTGGTAATTAATATGCACAAATTATATTTCCACATATACTAATCAGGTCCGTGCATTACCCCCCAATGCATCAATATATCAAGTTTCATTTCAACGGTTCTTGAGATATAAATCGAAAAATCTGAAAATTGTTTAAGTATTAAACATGTGGAACGTACATATATACAGACATAAATTAACCTTGTTTCAATCACAACAGGAATAATACCCCCCCAATTAATAATGATGAACCCTCAATGTTTTAACCACTGCACATGAAGCCAACTACCAGCATCTTTATCTAATAAAATAAAGCGAAACAAAAAAAATACCCGTATTAATCATAGTAGAGTAGTTCTGAACAAAATACGCTTAATTTATTCTCTGGTTTTTATTTTTACTTTTTCCGCTGATTGCTGGATGCACAAAATCTGGTAGTGTTGGCGTACAGGCAGTGTACCCACAGGTAACAATCTCGAAGCCCCAAAAAATTTCCTATTTTATATAAAAATGTACCATTTATGGCATGTATAAACTTCTTTTAGGGTCTACTGTAGAATTCTTTATTTTCACTTGGAATAAATTTTTGCTGAAGGAATGATTCAGCGAAAATAAAATCCAGCAAATACACCTTTTTCCCTATATTTTACATTCAACTCGTCAAAAATCAGTGAAAATAAAATCCATATAAAACACCAAAAAAGTCTATACAATGAAAATGAATTCCAGCTAAAATAAAGGATTTAACAGTACTCAGTGTGTCATCTGTATGTCTCTCTATAAAGCAATACGTCTTAGCTTTGTTCTAACATTGCAAGAATGCTAACATTAAAAGGAGTATAATGCTGCATATGAATTCAGCATACCCATGAGAACTTGAACTTGAGAAGGCACCCATTTTCAATGTCACAATTTATTAAATGTCCTTAGCCACCAGGAATTTTTTAGTATCTACGCCCTCTATGTGTAACTGAGGACAGTTACTCCCTAGACAATTACTAATAATGTCTGAGGTAGCAAAGTACCAACTATTGTAATTCAGTTTAGAAGTATTGAAAGATTATATTTGTATTGTTGAGGCGAGATCGCCTTCATGAGGTGCGATCGGCTTCACCTTTCTTATTACGAAATACTGTTGGTCAAGCTACATGAGGGACGAGTAACCATTGAACCATTAGTATCTAATTAGAAAGCTATACACTGACAAGGGTGTGTTTATAGGAGTAAAAATGTGCACCCTTGTATGTGTATAGCTTTCTAATTTGTGTATAAAATATGGGAAATTTAAATGATATAGGCAATATGGAAGTGCAGCTTGATGCAATTGATATTCAAGCCTTGTAATTGAATGACTTCATGATCCTGAGTCAAAATCAAGTTGGGTCAACTAAGTGACTTATTCAAGAAAAAAACAAACAATTGTATGAGGCTGTATAGGGACTGATTTCGAAGGCATGAACTAAACAGTTGTGGCTCTTGATTCCCTTTTTTTCACACTTTGTTTATAAAATGTGAATTTCATTTTACAAATGGTAAATTCCATAACTAACAGGTCATCGAACTGTAGCTTCATTCGTTCACATGACAACCAGTATGCGAATGTCTAAAAACAAATATCGCTCAATTATCAGGAGTAGCTGGCAATCTGCTGTGACAATGTATTATAATAATTTTATTGACACATAACAACCCTCGAACGGGATGAAATGGGTTACAATTAAAATGAATAAAAAAAAGACAATTAAGATGTGCGTTGATGTCTATGTTAATTATTGTAGCATACATAATGATATGAATTGCGTAAGTATTATTGACTTGTCATCACTATGCAAGTTGTTTTAAAGTGGGAGGGTCGTCACCTGCGTATGCAGAAATGAGAAATAGCAAATAGAAATATAACGTTTGTGACCATATATTCGATTGCAAATTTAGAAGTAATTTAATAAATCTGATTTTATTGATACTAGATTATTAATATCTATCATTATACATCTATCACCGTAACGCCAAAAGTGACAGAACATTTCCCCTGATTACAACGAGGACCATTAAAGCGGGGCGGGGGGTCGTCACCTGCACACATGCGAGAATTCCCAAGCGTTGATAAAACACGCTAAAAACGCAAAGGCTCATGACGCTTGTTGTAAACAATAACACGATATGGCCATCTGACTCATGCGCAGGTGACGACTCCCTCGCTTTAAATAACAGGGACACATACATGTATATTTAATAACGACAGGAAAACAACATTTCATACTAGGTGGTTGCAGGGGAAAATGTGCACAAGACATCGATAAAATTGCAAAGGCCAAACTCTTCCAGCCAATTATTTCACATGTTAATTAAACACTATGTTGTTCTTTGTATATATTTTATAACATAAAATATTGATAATATGTGGTACTTGGATTTGCAATCAAATGGTGTATAATAATAATGGTATTGTTTATTTAAATAGTCCGAATATAATAGATGATGCCAGCTGTTAAGAATACTATGTATATTTTGATGACGTCATACTAGTATATTGTAGCCGCCCAGTAACACTGTTTTAAAACCAAAATAGATGGTGCGTAAAAAATCAAATAAAAATAGATATATTATTGATATATTGTAGATGAGGTTGCTCTTTCTTTGCATCAAAAGCAAAAACAAACCGAAAACGGAGGGAAGCCCCGTTCATTATAAATATCGACAAAACCATTGCCAGCACAGCTGTTGCTGTCCCCTGTAGTTGTAGTTTCGGGAGCAGTTTATGCTCAACGAGCTACTACCAGGTTACCACCGACAAAAGTTTGTGATAATTACTAAAATTCTATGTCAATTATCCACATATTGTTACTAACGAAACTGCCACCTACCTTGGAAGACAGACGATTTGACGATAACTTGCTTGAACACTTTCACAATAATTTCTCGTACTTTCGATATTTCAGACGGAAAACCGGAAGTACATGCAAGTCAACGCGTACCCTGCAGTCATGTGATCTGCAGCTGATCCAACACGGGGGTGCTACTACTTGATACAATGCACAGTCATCACATTCTTCAATTTTGTTGTAATATTTACCATTTGCGCTCTTATTTTATTTTGCTAAAATAAATTTCGATTGAATTACTTGTATTTCTTTGACGGGGTAAACGGAAAATTCGGTAGTTCCATTGTTTGTTGTCGACGCAAATGATAACAGTGTTGAATGAACACGAATTCACGTTCTAAACCATAAAGCAACATGAGGTTGCATGACGGGATACGACATTAATACACACTTATTCGTTTCTATTACCTCTGGAATACTCCTCTAACATGTTAAAGGGTGGTAGTCGTCGTGCCGCGCATGTGCGACAATTGTGTTGATAAACATTGATTTTATCACTGACGAGTAAATATAGTAGTGTAGATATCAATGTAGTAATGATTACCGCCGACATTCCTTCGATACCTTCCAATCACCCAAAACTAAAAAATTAAAGGTTCATGACTTTCCTCGAGGTTACAGTGAGAAAATGAAAAAAGAAAAAAGAAAAACTGAACGAACAATACGACCAGTCCCACGAAAAAATATCTGTTTAGACCCCGGCGAACCAAGGAAGTTCCGTTAGTACCTTCCATGGTCGAACGTAGTCCAAAAAGGAGACTTCGTGCGTCCGTCCGTGTGCCCGTCGTCATTTCTCAGAGACACCTGGACAGATTTTCTTCAAAGCTGGTACAAAGATAAATCATAATGGGAGACATGTGCACGTCGATTTATTTTTTTATTTGGTTGACCTTTGACCGACTGGAGGCCATTTTTGTATCCAAAAAAACAACAACATTTGGACATGTCATTAACCGTTTCTCGGACATGCCTTGACCAATTTCATTGAAACTTGGCATTGACATCGGTCATGGTGAGTTACTGATGCACGTCATTTTTTTCGATTCTGCCCATTTTACAGAGATAATTTTACAGACTGGGTTTAAATTTGGTACAAAGGCAAGATATAATGGGTTAAATGTTTTGTTTTATTTTTCAAAGTTGGTACATCACAAGTCATGATACATGTGAATATCGCTTTGTTTTATTTTGATGACCTTCAACTGACAGCCATTAATTGTCCCAAAAATTCACATTTGGACATGTCTTTAACAGTTCTGGGGCATGCCTTGAAAATTTCATTCTGTAGTTAATATGCTAAATACTATCCCAATATTTAAACATAATCTGATTATGCTTTTCAATGTTTGACCTCAGACTAGTAACACAATTGTATTACTAGTATGAGGTTTGACAAAGCATGGAGATATATACCTCCATGGACAAAGTTACTAAAGACACGACGGGGACTATGACTTGACAATGATTTGTTTTTTTAGAAATTTCCTTCACGTAATCCCCTAAGCAAATATTGAAATTAAAAATATACGATCGTATTATCCAATATCTCAGCTATCTGTAAACACACACATATATATATTGTCATAGTAACATGCTTAGTAACCAAAACTATTACTTTCCCAAACATACCCACTGCAAACTAGTACACCTCCGTTGAGTCTGAATCTAAAGTTTTTGTGTGCCGTGTGAATATTTCAGTAAGCGTACGGGGGCGATGGTTTCCCAGTGTGCTATGTAAACCACAATGACATATAACTTACGAATCAATTATCTGCTAAAGGCTACTGTCTGCATGTACTTTATTTTATGCAACATGGGGGATAACTTCGAGCTAGGGTGCGGTTATCGGTCAGCTTGATAAACGCCAGCAACGACAAGTATGCCAAACGTATTTGTTTTTTTGTATCGTGGATTATTTGCTTTCACGCCGAGGTTGCTTTATTAGTGATGTTGGTGTGAATCTGCAGTTGACTCAAAGCATATATGCAAAGTAGAATTTGATACATAGAAAAAAAAGTGTCAACAAACAAACTCTCTGATTGGTCTTAAATCGTACGAATATGCAGTTGAGACAAAACATGTATGTAAGGCAGAATTTGATACGTCGAAAAAAAAAAACTGTCAACAAACAAGCATCTGATTGGTCTTAAATCGTACGAATCTGCAGTTGAGACAAAGCATGTATGTAAGGCAGAATTTGATACGTCAAAAAAAACTGTCAACAAACAAGCTCTCTGATTGGTCTGACTGTTAGGGATGGGTAGCCAGTCAAGCACAATCTTGTTAGTAACTTCACATTGACTCTGATAGCAACAAAATGATGATAGAAGACAACATCATTTAATGGTTGGAGTAGCTTTCTGTTTAGTTAAGACGATCATACTTCCCTAGTAACATATTGCAATTGGGACAGTGATGGTTGACGTCGTTGCATGCTGGTATGCAAAACGGTATCAAGCAACAGCCAAGCCAAGCCCTGTCAAATAAAACGAGTATACATGTATTATTATTAGGCAATTCTCAGCATCTTACAAGGTCTCGCGTGATTTGGCAAGTGAGTGTGTTAAAGGTCATACAGTATTCTACATTCTAAAGTAGGTAAATGCATCTAAACTGACGTTTGTTAGCAATAATAATAGTTTTAGCACGGAAACTGCCCCACGTGTCAGATAACCGTAGTTTAGTAGTTGTTTGTGTAAGGTTTGTGTAGATAATAATAAATTCACAGCCGCTAAAACTTATCGAGAAACATGCATCCTAAAAACATAGACCTTGGGGTATGTTGAAGCTTGTTCACAAAAAACAGAACAGAATTTATTAACAGAATTCCAGCTCAGATTTGACACCAAAAACAAGGAGCCTCTAAAAAAACGTTAACAACGTCGAATGACTTGAATGATCACAGTTGCGTACATCGCATGTAAAATACATTGTGTGTTTCCATGAAATGTGAACGCTCGTTGGACGACTTTAAAACGTCTGAACATATAGTATATATTGAAGTGAATCGACTGCTTCAGTGAGTAGACTTTACTCACCCGGCCATACATGTAATACCAGCAGCTACCCATGTTATCATACCGGGTTGGTACTCGATTTTAGTTACGATATTCTGACCACATGAACGACACTGCTGACAGACAGGATGATCACGGTACGCAATCGGCATCATACCTGTAAATAAAACACAACAATGAACAAAGCATATTGCCGCGACAGTTCCCCCGATAAAGCAGTAAAATAACGTTCGGGATCTACGTAGTATATAATGCAAATCCTAGTAATCTTATTGGTTCATCCATAGACCCTCTAACAGTTAGAGGGTCTATGGTTCATCGTAGTGCAAGCAGACTGAACGTTTGGCATCATGGCTGACAATCCTAAAATATGCTAACATCTCACCATGATGATAGTTGTACTCTGTATTTCTTGAAAGATTGCTAGGAATCTCAAAGAACAGTATTTTATTATTAAAGGGGGCAGTCGTCGTGCCGCGTCCTGTTCGATATGGGACTCATAGCGACGTATACAACGCGTGTAAAATACATTGTTTATTTACATGAAATTCGAACACGCGCTGCGCAACGACCACCGCGCTTTAACATGAATGAATGAATGTGGATAAAAGAAATGTCAACACTGTTCGCGGCCCTCTTTCACTATTCTATGTCACCGAGTCGAATCGTCGCAAGAAGGCGCGATTTATAGGAAATGCATATTCAAAGTGGGTCAATTAACTGTATTATTTGATGACTTACCTCCTCCAGGCTGTGTCCCTATGGCAGTTGCACATTGGGCTCGTCCAGAATATGGTGAACCACCGACTGTAAACGCTGAGTAAGGTGGAGGAGCAATTGGTGAATGGCCTCCACATGTGTACGGAGCGGTCTGAGCCGGGTATTGTGGTGGGCCAACTTCGGGTTCCGTGGACGTAGCTGTTAGTACCGGAACTTGTTGGGGATATCCTCCGAGTCCAGACTGAGTAAAGACATCCTGGGTCTGATATGGGTATGGCGGTGGAGGCCCGAGTGGAGCTGGTTGGTCGTCCTGTTTGAATTCTTCCATGTCTTGCTACGATTATTGGTGGTTTCTGGGAAAGAAATATACTTCGCAGTAATTACTGTGGAAAGTAAACAGATAATTCAGAACATTGAAAGCAGTAAAATATGGCGATATTATCATAATTTTCTGGTTTGTCTGATCCGTAAGTAAAGCTTATTCTTGCACTTAAAAGTGATTTTGATTTCTATCATTTATCCACAATCTCTTTAATAGTCTTTGATTTGTATATTCTGCCAATTATTTTGGGAGTTTTTGAAAATTATAACCCGGACAATGTAGCTTAAAAATGAAATCAGTTGTGAAGCGGATCAAAATATAATTGCGAAAATCGTGTTATTCCCGGACAATTTCGATGTCATAGTGGAAATGCTTCCCTACCTTGTGTTATTATATGAGTGGTCGGCGACTGACTAAGTATACCGACCCTACATTAGGTCCTTTTTATAATCCAAAAACGTTCTGATCGCCTTTTGATTCAGGTCCGGTATTTAGGCCGACATATTTGCTTGCTCCGACATCATAGTGGTCACACAACTTGGGATAACATTGAATTAGCACTGATGACTGTGCACATACCTGCAGACTGACTGGTCGAGTAGAATTGGTGGGTATGAAGAACTGTTACCAAAGATAGACGACGAACGTATTTTTTATAATATGGCGGCCCCGTTATACTCGTCCGCGCGTGCGTGTCATTAAGGCGGATATACGCGCGCCGCGCGTCATTGAAAGATAAAAACGCACTCTTGCGACAAAGCGGCTGTGTGGCACTGTGTCAATGTCACTGTGAGTGGTCAGAGGGGCTCGGATCCCTGTACCCACTGTACACCGTGCATATATTCGCGATAAGCATAACCCCAGAGCCGACCAATGGTTATCAAGTATCAATACTAAGTCAGTAACGAGTAAACAAGTTAAATATAAATCAATTCTAACAAAACGAAATTAAACTCACGCGCGCGAGCCTTATAGTCTAACAAACATACGATATCACTGAGTTGTATTACATGTCATAGACACTGATCAGCACACTGAACAAACAAACAACAGTATTGCCTACCTCACTCAATATACAAGGACGTTACTCTTTGATTGGCTGCAGGTTTCGTGTTATTCAACCCAGTATGTGATTGGTTATCATATTTAGTTCGATTCAGTGAACCATGGTATGCTTTCATTGACTCCCATGTGCGAAGCACAAAATGGGAGTCTTTGCAGTTAGTGTGTCTGTATGTGTGTGTGTATGTGTGTCCGACTGTTCCACTGCTATCTCAAGAACCATACATCGGTTTTTGATGAAACTTGGTGCATAGATGCTCTGGGCCAATGCGCAGATTTGATTAGGTTTTGGTAAAAATCCATGCTCGTTAATTACCTAATTTGCATGATAATTAGCTAATTTTTAGCTGTTCTATGACTGTTCCACTGATATCTAAAGAACCACTCATTGGATTTTGATGAAACTTGGTACATAGATGCTCTAAACATATGCGCAGATTTGATTAATTTTTGGTAAAATTCCGTGCATATTAATTACCTAATTTGCATGATAATTAGCTATTTTTTAGTGGTTCCATGACTGTTCCACTGATATCTAAACAACCACTCATTGGATTTTGATGAAACTTGGTACATAGATGCTCTGAACTAATGCTAGGTTTTGATTAGTTTTTGGTAATAATCCGTGGATACTAATTACCTAATTTGCATAATGATTAGTCAATTTTCGGTTTTTCCACTGATATCTCAAGTACTAATCATCACATTTCAATGAAACTTGGTACA